GCAGCATTTTATACCGCGACGAGTATACTCGTCGTGGAGAAGCGGCAGCATTTTGCACCGCGACGAGTATACTCGTCATGGAGAAGCGGCAGCATTTTGTACCGCGACGAGTATACTCGTCGCGCGAGAAAAAGTAGCGGCCGTTGGCTATTTAAATTGTAACTTTAGTAAGATTAAGGCCGATTAAACGGAATAAACACGCTGAGTATATTATATAATTGTATGATTAAATAAATAAATGTGCAATTAAATAATTACGTAATTATATAAACATATAATGATAAATAATTTTATAACTAAAAATGATATTCACGTACTCAATGTTTTGGGGAGTAAATTGAGAATTTACATTTAAGTGTATAGTGTATAATTGCACAATTGTACAATTATTTATGTAATTATTTATATATTATTGTATAGTGAAAAATGTTTATAATTTTACCAACAATATAGAAACTGTAATATACGTACGCGATATAAACATTCTACCACATGGGGAGCGACGTAACATCGATCGACCGCGTTGCGGAATTCGTCTCCGCAGTTCTGACTCTGTTCCGCCACCGTCGATAATAATTGTCTCTGTAACAACAAAGGCTACATTACTGTACACGCGATAATACGTATGTTGCCGGGGATGCCTTCGAATTAGCGAACATTGAACTTAATGGGATGTCGGAATGATCGCAGCCAAGCAAGTAGGATTATTTATGTTCGAGGACATTTGTCCCCCGACGGCATCTTTAACAGGCGCGCATTCGTGCCCTCGGAGGTTCGCGTTTCGAGCGTGCGTGAGTTGTAATTCTGCATTTTCATGAAAGTGCTACCGCAATTAGAATGATAATAACTGACGCTAATGCACGCTGCACGTGGGGCTTAAATGGTTGAATAAGCCTGGAAACATGAATCACGGCTTCCGCCCCGTCGAGGTTAGGCGGCTTCCTTAGAACATTTCTATACGTCGCGCACGCGGCCTCTGTACCGCGCGATTATTATTTAAATGATGACACGAGGAAGCTCGGACTTTTTTACAGCTGATATTACAGAATATAACGTTCCGATGCTGCGCGTACCGAACGCTATTTTCTCCGATACGATCGCAAGAGCAGCCTAACGATTTTCGTGAAGTTTACAACGCTCGCGCGAAGAGATCCGAGAGAGTTTTGTTATGCAACGTTTCGTACAATAATCACGATTAACAAAATCGCGATAAAAAAAATTAAAAGTCAAAGTTACGGTTTTACGGGTGGACAATTTTTGCGTGCAATCCGAGCGTCGATTAGGGAGAGTTCACTGTACAGTAAATTCTCTCTGATTGACGCTCAGATTGTACACAAAAATTGACGATTTGGGAGGAGGAGACACGATTGTTCGAGCCTTGCGGATCGTTTTTATAGTTACCGATCGTGAATAATTGTAAAAAGGAGGCGCAAGATTCGAATAATCGTGTTTACTCTTCCCAAGTTCTCCATTTTTATGTACAATAATGTCTCCCTTACTGACGCTCAGATTATCCACTAAAATGGATAATTCGGGAAGTGGAGATACGATTATTCGAGCCTTGCGGCTCGTTTTTATCGTCATTGACGATCGGCGACTGCAGAAACGAGCCGCGAGGCCCGAAGAATCGCGACTTAGTATTCTCGTATATTCGCGTAGTAATGTCTCCCTTACTGACGCTCAGACTGCCCGCTAAAATGGATAATTCGGGAAGAGGAAAAAAATATAATCGTGAACAATTTATAACTATAAAAATAAACCGCAAGGCTCGAAAAATCGTATCGCCTCTTCCCAAATTGCCCATTTTTGTGGTCAATCCGGGCGTCAATTAGAGAGACATTAACTGTACAAGCCGAGCGTCAATTAGGGAGAGTTCACTGTATTACGATACGATCGTAGACGACTCTGATCGCTCGAGACTGGTGTATTAATTATCCTGGCACTGTTATTGCTGGATATCAAGGTCATTGTACGGCGCGGCGGTCAGGGGATGGGACTAATGGAAACCCGTAGCTCGTAACTGATGGAACATGTCGGTCACAGTTCTCCGCCGCTGTGGCAGTTATTAATATAATAATAGAATCTCGTTTATCCAGATTAGCGAAATGACATGATCGTGCAGATAATTGATACGCATTGTCCCGATCTCGTTGCTTGTGCGTCTTCGAAAAAGGAAAAAGAGACGCGGATGATGGAACGTCCGCTGGAAGGTTTCACGTATTTTTTTCTGTTTTTTTTTTGTTGAACGCGGAACAACTCCCATGATTAAACTTTTACAAGAACAGATCGCGAGAATGATTATTAAACTATTCCTCTACTTTCTAGTTGGCGTACGCTGCATGCGCATACCTTTGCAGTTTCAAAGGTACGGACTTTAGTTTATCAGCGATAACAAAGAACGTACCGCAGGAAGATGTTCATTTCGTGTCGTAAACTTTTACCTACGTTACGGGACGTACGTTTTACCTGCTTTGTTATGGGATCTGGCCAGGGAACAACTTGGTCGTGTCATCGTGAAATTTGTGTCGCAGCTGCGGGCAGGATTTCATATAAAAACGCGGGCGCGTTAACGATATTTGAACGAAATTAAAAAGTTGCACGCGGAAGGTGAAAGAATTGCGGAAAAAAAGAAAGGAAAATCAGCCGTTCGACGACGGAAAATATTCAGGAAATTGTTGCGTACGAAGTATCGCGTATGTCTGTTATAATGTTCTTGATGCAATTCACGTTATGACAAGATTGCAATACGAAAAGATCGCAACGTGAAAAGGTACAATGACGGAAGGTTGGAAATAACGAGCCTGTTCGAATCAAATTGCGCAGATTTTATGAAACGGTAAATGTTAATTTTGCCAGCACCGTAATTGTCGACGATTTTGTGCGAGCGCAAAGGGTCGCGCGTTGCGATTTTCCATCGAAAAATTACGCGCGCTCTGTAACGATGAAGATAACGCTCTCTATTTTCTGAATTACGCCTGCATATTTTATCGTAAAAAGCGTAAACTTTCGATAATAAATCCGAGAAAATTTCGATGAAACGTTTCCGAGAACGGCGAACGAATGTCGCGCGGCTTGCGCAAATGCAGGCGCTTTTGAAAACTGCGTTTACAGGACCAGAAGTATTTCCGTCGATTTCCATTCCAATGTAAGAAGCAACGTTACATATTCCGTTCGTGTAAGCAGGCATACAAGGCTCGTATTTTTAAGCGGCGATTTCGACAATTTCAACTTTTGTCGTATGAAAATATATCGAATGGCTTTATGAAAGTTCCGAGCTTAGAAAAGTGCTTAAAAAAGAGCTCGAATCAATTTTGTCCGAGTTGGGAGTCTCTTCAAGGGTACAGCCTTTCTTTTTTTCGCAGTAAATTGCCGCCCGGTGGCTCATTTTTATCGTCATTGACGATCGACGACTGCAGAATCGAGCCGCGAGGCCCGAAGAATCGCGACTTAGTATTCCCGTATATTCGCGTAGTAATGTCTCCCTAACTGACGCTCAGATTGTGCACAAAAATGGACAATTTGGAAAGAGGAGACACGATTATACGAGCCTTTTTATAATTGTTGACAATTCTTAACTATAAAAAGAACCCGTAAGGCTCGAACAATCGTATTTCCTCTCCCGAAATTGTCCATTTTCGTGGACAATCCGAGCGTCAATTATAGAGACGTTACTTTGTGTCTACGATTCGATCGGCTAGGGACAACCGTCTGAGACGCGTTAAGGTAGTTAATGACTTCCTTATAGTGGTTTCCGATCCCCGAGCACATGCGAACGGTGGTACATACCTCTAATTGCCGCATCAAGCCGCGGGGAAAATGGCGAACGACGGCGAGGAGATAAAATCGTCCTCGGGATTGTCCTCACGATCCCGTTGTTTCGTTGTACGTGACGCTGCAGGCACCAGCTGCATTTCTGTCGTCACGTGTCATACGTCACGACGCGTCATGGCAAATATGCGCGTCGTGCAACGGAGAGCTTTTCTACGGTGGCGACAACGCTACTTAATTAAATCGTCGGCGTTGGCGACCGTTGTTCCCGACAGAATCGCGTTTAGAGCAACATTTCAGCAAATTTTTCACCCCATTGCACTTTCTCGTTGCTTCGGTTTCGCGTTTGCCGGCCATTTTCGTCGGTAACAACGACGCTCCCCGGCGGACTCGGAGCTGTTCTAACTCTAAATCCGAAACAGCTTTTCTGACCGACGGTATTTCTCATTTGATATGACTCGGTGCATTTTATGCATTTTATGCATACGAAATCGAGTCTTACGACTAGACCGAGGTAGTTTATGCACTTACGGTATGTAGCGAGTATGCAGACTTATGCAAGAATATGCAAACTGTATGCAAGCCATATATACAAAGCATGTGCATCATAGATTTGGTAAATATATGCTCGCGTGGGTGCTGTAAAATCCGTAAAATTGTCTTCAATCGATGCACTTGATATTACGCGAACTATTTTAAAAAATAATTTCCGTATTCGGAAATATTTATATAACATGTATAATATTATATTTAATTTATATAACATATAATATAATACACGTATGAATAAAAACATGTATAATATTATATTTAATTTACATAACATATAATATAATACACGTATGAATAAAATATAATATTATACGTGTTATACAAATACTTCCGAACATCCAATAAAATCCGTAGGATGTTTCAAATATTCTAATGAAATATGCAATCCGCGCCAGTTACGTCCGAGATATCCGATCGAACGTGGAGCCTGCAATCTCCTTTTCTGAATATTTAATATCTCTATCTTTTGTTCCGTCCGTTCGTTATTCCACTGTTAACACACGCGAATCTACGTGTGATTTCATTTTCACATTATTGACGGATTGTTCGCTTGTACGCGTTATTAAAACAACTATTTCAACGATGACTGACAACCACAGAGATTTCTCCTGGATATTTTTCAGTCGTTACTCCATCGTCGACAAAACACGATCGATAAATTATTGTCGTTCTGATTCCAGGTTCCCCAAGAAGCTTATTCTACTGTTGGCGATTTGTCTGTCGACCGCATATACGGGTAAGTGTCCTTTAAAAATTGATCGTCGCTCGATTGCCCAACTGCAATCAATTATATGCATTCGTAGCGAGACGAAAGATACACGAATAAATGAATATGTTTGCCCGAAGCTGGACACGCGCGGTCTCGACAGATACGAACATTCAGTCAACTAGGAATATTTAATTTCCGTAGAATACAAGGTATTCCATGATTATGGTACTTCCAAGCAATGAGAGATTCCTGAGGACATTTGAAGCAACTTTCTCCTTTACAAAAATGTTCTCCGAGGCTTCGTTTACGAGTTATTAACGAAAAACGCTGGCCAATGAGATGCGAGCTCGCCTAACGCTAGGCGGTCGAGCCAACGAGCGCGTAGACGCCCAGTTCCGCCGATTGGCTCGGCTGCCTAGCGCCAGTCGAGCTGGCCTCCGATTGGCCAGCGTTTTTCACGAATAACTCGTAAACGAAGCCGCGGATCGCATTTTCGCAAAGGAAAAAGTTACTCGAAATAACCTCAGGAATCTCTCATTCGCCGAAAATACCATAACTTCGAGACACCCTGCAGAACAACTTGCGGAAATAAACTGCGCCCGGTGCGATCGATAAGAACGCGTAGGAAATTGATCTGAAAAATAGATCGACGCAGCTAAGTGGTCGAAGAAGCGACTGCGTTCTGTCCGAATAGTTTAGCGACTATGACTGTGTGCATCGGTAGCGTTACGCGTTAAGCCGGCTTACACGTTTTAAGTCGGCCTCTCGCGCGCGCAGGGCGTTGCTAACAACGACTGCAGGAACAGACACAGGAAGTCACAATCGGATCCTCGTTTTCGATGCAGATAGCTGCGGATGGCGTCGCGTTTAGCGACACGGTTTCCACGACGACAGGGGCAGATTAATGGAAGTCCAATTTAGCCGTGCGACCGAGGCTCGAAGACGCGTCGTTTTAAATAACCGCGTCCCGTGAAAAAGAAAGTGGTCGAAACGGAATTCTTATCATTTTTCTTTTTTAGCAACAATAATTCTATTTTCGATAGGCTTTCGAGATACAAATAGACGCGCACACGGGTAAAAGTATAATATTCGATACGAAAGTGAATCGTATATAACGTAGAAACGCGCTCGTTAAACCAACGGAATTGTTAACGACGCGTTATTTACCGCGCGGCATACGCTGTCGGTGTAAAAAGAAAAAAAAATAAAGAACAGTAACAGGTACGATATTTTTTGTATACGTTGCAGCTTTATTCGGAATTTCGTCTTTCTCGGTTCGCCGAATTGCCGTTCCTTTGAGGCGGCCCGGTGCAAAACTGAATCGTGACTCGTTTAGTATCGAAGTAAAACGGTGCTTTCTCCTGCTACATTCGTGCCGCGTCTAACCTCGAGAAAAAGCCGATAGCAACGGCGGAGGCCGGCCGTACGGCTCCGTTTTTTGAAACTCGAGTTGTTTGCTCGCCGCTTGTACACCAGTGATCACTCAAAGGGGAACGTTTGCACACTCACAAATATGGATCAATCACGGTCTAACGATGCATTCAAGGGCGCCGCACGTACGACCGTAATTGCCGGGGTTGGAGGAGGAGGAGGAGGCGGGGCGTGGCTCCGCGATTTTTACAGCTGCAACCATTTTTATTTCTTAGTCCGCGATTTAACGTATATTCCGGAGCATTTCGAGTCGATTCACGTTTATTAGACTATAAACGGTTGAACAGGGCAATTTTCGAATCGTGTGAACTCTTTGGCTCGTAGAAACTGACATTAATCTTGCTCAGGCGCCATGAACGCGACTAAAACGAATCGGAGACCGAAAGCAATTGATTATTGTGGTCGTAAAGGGTTGCAAAGTCGTCGTTAAATTTTAACCAGTTAGCTGTGGCGCCTCTTCTTCAGAAGACGCCAATGATCACTGCTTTTTGCGCGCGACGAGTTTACTCGTCGTGGCACAAAACACTGCCGCTTCTCCATGACGAGTATATTCGTCGAACTGGTTCAAGGAGATTTCAATTACTGCAGCGCTTCGAAAAACTAAATAATAAAGAAAGAAAGACTAAATAAACATAATAAATGACGGAAATAGACGATCCGGCTACGGTTTTAATACGGTTCGGTTCCCAATCTCCGAAACACTGTCACAAATACTCAACGATAACAGCTCTAAGTCGAAATAAAGTCGACGATAATCTTCCACCCCTCTCCGAAAAGCATTCCATAATAGGTACTTTCGCCCTGTTCCGCGTCGCTCGGCGTAGACCTCGGTCTGAGGGCCGTAATGAAAGAAAAACAAACTGTTCGGCGAAAGGGGATGGAAAGGGATTCATGACTCGCGAAGGAGAAACTGAAGGCAAACAGCAATGCGTGCAATGAAAGTAACGGAATTAAGGGTGGCGAGGGTGACGCGAGCGGATACAGGTAGAAATGGCGGGCAGAAGGGCGGCGGGGGACCCGGGAACCGTGAGAAGAAAAAAAGGCATCGGAGGGCAACATTTTTCCTTCCGGTGGAAAACCGTTTCAAGACTTCTTCTTCTTCTTCTTTTGCGGGAGAGAGAGACGCGGCTTTCTAAGGGGAGGAATAAAAAAAGGAGAACGAGAAATGGGCAAGGCGGTTCGGTCGAAGCTTCCTATTTCCTTTACCAGAAAAAGGGAACGCCTTTCCCCTCTTTCTTTCAGTTTCGACGAATCTGATTTACTTTGCCGATGAAAGAGTTCGCCATCGATAGAATAACTTGAAATAAGCGTTCGACCGCTAATGCTGTTACCAAACTTCTCTATAACTATAGCTTCCATTCTTGTCATTAGGGATGACCGTTCAAGTAGAACGTCGATTATGCGAACGTTATTTGTCCGGATAATGGCCGTCCGAGGGATCGATCGTCGAAATACGCGATAAATCACGCGTGGGAATTGTTGTGTAGCGCAACCGGTCAAATTTCGATCGTGTAATTAAAAATGATAGATACTTTGTGTTTGTACAAATTGCTGCATCGCTGCGATCACTATCGCTGCAGTCGCTTATCGCTGTAATCGCTGTAATCGCTGTGACGTAATAATACGTCAAACTCTGTCTCGCGCTTCAACGTTCGTCGCTTTTGCCCGATTACGCGTCCGCATTCTCTCTCTCTCTCTCTCTCTCTCTCTCTCCCTCATTCTCTTTTGTGAACATTCAACCGGGTTAATAAATTCTAGAAAATCGCGTTTAAAGCATAAAAAAGTGAAAAGGATTTCCGGTACGCCCGGCGCGGAAAATCGTGGCAGTTCGATAAACCGGCGTTGTCAATTTCTCGCTCGCGATAGCCGAACGGTCGTTGATAACTTAATATGACAAAGCTCGTCGGTAAGCACATTAGAGGCGATGACAAGTTGGCCAGTGTGTGGCAGGGTGCAACGGCGGGGTGGGAGTGCACACTCCGCTCCTCGTTTCGTCCGGACCCCACTTTCAACACTTTGGCAATGCAGCGCGTTCTCTTCATCACGCGATCCAATTTGTAGATGTGTCGGTTTCAGCCAATAACGAAAATACATGTGACAGCGGGGCTCGGGCCGGTGTGGTAGTTTAAACATCGCCGGTATTCGATGTCAATCGGACCCTGCATTCATTCGAACGCAGCAACTTATCGTTCCGCTGTGCCATAGGCGTGGCGCGGCGCGGCGACTCGATGAATTTAATGCGAATGAAATTTGCGTAGCGCCGCGCGAATCGGCGAAAATCTCGGCGAAATCGAGCCGATCCGGCGTCGCATACTTTGCGGCCGAAGAATAATTTCGGTTTGGGTTATATATTGTTACAATTTGTTCGTTCGCGAATCGCGTTTTAGACCCGCGCGATGCGATTTTCATGCACCGGGTGTCTCGCGCGAACTGTTCCCTCCACGATTTTTCGAGCATTTCCGACAGACCGAGAGAAAATGTATCGAAACTGCAATGAAAACAAATTCAGAGAATATGTTGTATTGCAAGCGATCGTGGCCACCTTCATTTTTTTAAAGATCGAGGCGTCTAAAAAGGTGAAATCATTGAATCGATATGTTTTCGTTGAAAATTGTTGCATCGTGCCGATTTGAAGCGTGCAACATCGACAAAATGAATCTTGGAACCTGATTAAAAATTAGCTAATGTGTACAGCGATCTAATCTAACTCGAACGGTTAAAAATTGTATTGTTAAACATTGTATCGCTGAATTAGCGACGCGTTAACGCTGCGAATAACATTTATATCGTCGGCTAGAACAGAATTATATGAACAATACTCTGTGAAATAAGATTTTTCGATGGTGAAACATTATCAAGAGAACAAAAAAATGATCGAAGGAACATCGGTAAACGGCATTGTAAACGGATCGATCGTTTCGAATCCTTTCGAAACGCAGCCGCGTCGTCGAAAACAGCTCGCGCACAATGCGTCGAGAAAGAATAGTTTTTGCTAGCCGGTCGGAACAAAGCTCGGAGCCGAAGATATCGACTTACCGAAGTTCGATGGGGTGTGTGCGACAAGAAAAAAAGAAGAAGAGAGAGCGCGTTCTTGTTCGAGGACCGAAGAGGCGAGGTGACTTATATTAGTCTGAAGAGGGTTTTTTTGTTGTCATCGGAAGTCGCTTCGGTTCGCACGAATCTGGAGTCGAATTCTGGCAGTGATTTATCGCGGCGACTGTTCGAACGAACTCTTTACGAACGCGTAAAAATCGGAAAATTTAAAGAAACCTTCGCAAACTTCTCTCTATTTTTCCCTTATTCCTTTAACGTTTCAGCTTCGACCTAAAGAAAATCATTGCTTCGCTTCATTTCTACGAACAGTTCTTCGAAACAATTTCGTCGAAATAAATAACCGACGAGCGAAAATCCGTTCCGTTTTAACGTCTCGCCGCGAAGAAGCGTCCCCATTGTGAAATTAGTCGAACGGAAGTTGGCTAACGGGTTGGTCAACGGGTTAATTTTCACGAAGCACGCAGGAGGATTTCGTTGGGAAACGAAACGAAACGAAACCTGTTTCGCTTATAGTCGAGCAAATATAACATCGTCGCGTAAAA